AAGTCGTACCAACGAGAAGCACGAGACGCTTGGCAGGGGACCTGAAGCGCGGAGTGACGAGATCCATTCCATGAACAATGGGGGTCTTGAAGTAGATGTCGAAGATGCTGAGCTTCCCCTTCTCTCTCCATTCTCCATTGTCGGCTATGTCTTCCTTCTCTGATGTCAGTTCTCTTGTTGCCCCTTGATCTCCCTCGTTGGCTCAAGCCTTTCCTCTCCAGTCTAGTTGTTTTCCTTTCCATAAAATCCACTACCAATCTCTATCCTCAATAGATCTTGGCATCCTCTCACCCTTGCCTCTCTCTTTCTCTCCGTTGCTAAGCCTTTCATTCATGCCTTCTTCCTCATCTAATTGAACCATGGAATGTCTAATGTTCTAGATCTAGGTTTGCAAGAACCCGATCTAGGTTCTAGGAGTGGAGAAGAGAAGGAAGGAGAGAGGGAGGAGAGAGAAAGAAAATCAAAGAACCAGGGCTAGGTGAAGAGGAGAGCCATTGGGTTAACCAAAGAAACGGAGACAAACGGAGACAAACGGAGATGGAGTGTGTGTGATGAAGGGTGTGACAACGGTGTGTATTCATCATTTTTCATAATTTAAATATTTTTATTAATTAAATTAAATAAAATTACCAATGTTAGATTTAAATTGCTATACAAAACAGTTCTTTAAAATTAATATTTTTATTTATTTAATATTTTTAATAATATGTTTCAAAAACTAATGAAATTAAAATATTTTTTGTTTAAAATTATAAAACTTATAAAAATTAAAATCAAAAATAAAAAATCATAACCATACTAAATGAAACTATAATAATACAAATTTATTTCCAGTTTAGTATTAGTATTGAAATTTAGTGTCGGTCCAAGTCCATTTGAGGTGGTTTTCAAAGTTTTCATTTCTTACAAGTTGTCTCTCGACCTGCTTCACGGGGTAACGGTGATAGAATTGAGTATCTTGTTTATAGTGTAAATAAAATGTATATACATATTTGAGTTCTTAAAAAAACTTCATAAAATTAAAGTTGATTATCTTAATAACAACATGCCAGTATTTTCTTGCTAGAAATCCCATGGACAGAGCTTTCTACTTAATTCAACCAAATGTATGCTTGGAACAATTGAGCTATGCCATTTTGGCTGAACTTTCACATCCTTCGGTAAATATTTTGTTGATCCGTGTAGGTGATGTTTATTTTCAGCAATTTAAAGGAAGTATATCAGTTGTTACTTCTTTCTTGAACCTCTTCCTCAATACAAATCATTCCATTGTTTCAGTTCAGCCGTTATTGCAACCTTAACAACAAAGATTGCAACAACCTGCATCAAAGTAATGTAGACCTCTATGGATCAAATGACAGTTCTGGATTCTTATGCCAGTGTAGAAAATTAAATACTCGAAAATAAAGATACATGGAGATGGTAATTATGTTATCTGGTGGAATTTATGGACTTAATATCAGTTATTGCGTTATTGGCTTATAAATTGTCATATCATTAGAAAAATCTTATGAAAATTGAAAAAGAAATCAATAAGTAATTCCATAAAAAAATATTATTATTATTATTATTATTATTATTATTATTATTCAAAAAAAGAAGAAATGTGATGATATCCAAGATGGAAGGGAGCATTATGCTCAAACTACCATTTATTTGACATAAACGATTTAGAATTCCTTGGGTAAACAAATGAAAAAAAAAAAAATGCGAAAGTAATTGAGGTATACATGGATTGAATTTGTTATACCTTTTACAATATGCATTCCTCCATCATGTATTTTTTCCGATACCAGTTTGACCATAAACATAAACATGTATCTTTTTTACATGAGATCATTCTGTTTGAGAAAGTTTTGGGGCCGATTGGTAGGTTGGTTCTCTTGGGTCAGAGTTAGAATATCCTAATAACAATGATATTAATAATATAATTTCATTGCACCAGAAATGAAGAGTAAGAATCCAAGGTACAAATTTACCCAAAAAACAAAATAGAAATGTCCTTCTTGTTTACGGTAGGAGCAAGTCATAATTTTTCCTCTCTTGGACATTTTAGACTTAGACAGTTTTTTTGGCTCATCTTTTGCCTTTTTCCAGTTTTTCTTAGGCTTGGAATTGGAGGAGAATTAGGATCTCCATGGAATTTTTGCCAAGACTTATCATCACACATTGCCTTAATAGGGAAATTATATGATTATTGATATTTACCCTTCCTATACCGGTCAACCACAAAATCTTCAAGATCTAAATTCTCATGAAACATGCAGCAAATAACATGTGGACAAGGAATTCCATTCAACTGCCATGCTCTACATGTACAAGTTCTCTTTTGTGGATCTACAACATGTCTATCATTCTTATGTTTAACCTCAAATCCAGAGGTTCCATCCCAAAGAAATCTGCACCTAGAGGATTCATTTTTATTCTTTCCTAACTTAGTCTTCACCCTTGGAGCAATGTCCCCTTTCCATTTATGAGAGGATGACATCTTCTCGACAATCCTTTCCATCAATTGTTCCCTCATAGTGTCAACCGAATTAATAATGGCTTTGCACCTTGCTTCCATAATCAAAAAATTAAAAGATTCACACATGTTATTGTCCATAGCATCACAGCATGTATCCTCATAAAAAAAAAAGCCTTGCACTAGTACATTGGAAGGGTTCTTGACAAATTTGTCCCCTATGCTTGCTCTGAGATTTTCTTTAGCTCATTCACTTGGTACACAAACTCACATTCCCAAGTAGCTCTTGCAATAGCCCATAACCTTTTTTTATATTCTTCACCCCTATAAATTTTAGCCCAATTGGCATCTATGCATCTTGCACAATATATATGACATGCATTTGGAAAAACAGACTCTCTACTATAATGTCCTACAAATTAAAACAGTTTTACTATTATTATTATAAAATAAATATCATATTACCTTTACAAATAGCCATCTTTATTAATATAAAATCAGCATTTGGAAAAACACTTTAATTAATGCATATTACCTTGTGCATGTCTGAAATAATTGTCAAACCCACTTCGTCTCTACAGTCAATGTCTATCTTTAATAATTCCATGAACCACTACCAATTTTCCCTATTCTTTGTGTCAACAATTGCCCATGCTAGTGGGAACATTTCATCGTTCCCATCTCTCTCAATTGATGTTAACAATATACCTTTACAAACACCTTTCAAAAAACAATCATCTACACCAATAATGCGTTTGTAACCAGCTTTCCAACCCCTCTTACATCCATTAAAGCTCATGTACATCCTTTTGAATTGATAAAATGTGACACCATCTATGTCTATTCCAATAACACATGTTCAGTCAGGATTAGTGGCCAGCATATGTTCCCCATAGCCTTTAAGAAGCTTATACTACTCAATGTGACAACCTTCCAACTCATTTTTAATAATTCTTTTAGGTTTTTGACATTTATACTTTGAAACCTCAACCTTTAATTCTTCTTTCACATGTTTAGCAAGGTGTCTACAACTCATATGAGAGGAGTTAATAACCAACATCCTCAATGCATCAGCTAAGAAGCTCTTAGTTGCCATTTTGTTTTTGTTTGATTTAAAACATAAATATTTTCTCCTATAAGTTTTCACCTTGAATGTATCATCAGAATTGTCAAAACTAGCAAAAATTTCCTATGAACAACCATTTTTCACATCACATGCAATCCTTTGCCTCCCTGGCTCATTCTTCTTCCACCATAGTTTGCATCCCTTCTTGATTGAGTACTTAGCAATGGTTGCCTTAAATTGCACTGCATTTTCAAACACCATTCCAACCTCAAAATGTGGAGAATCAAACATTGGGTCATAATGCAAGCTCTTAGATGGTCTCCTTAATGCATCATCCTTCACATTAGGGTCATCAATAGAGATATCATTGTAGTAGCTACTAGGATCGGAACTATGAATATAGGTAATGCTACTACACAAACTATTGGTCTCATCATCTTCAAAGTCTGAGTTTTCAACAAGTCTAAGGCCATTTTCATCACCACTGTTAGGTTCTCTAATTCTAATACCCTTAGAACTAGATGTTGAATCTACAAATTTGTTCTTTGTTTTATGCTTTTCCTCCACCACCTTTTGCTTTCCTATATCTTTTCTTTGCATTCCATGCAAATTTCTAGGACCCCCATTTACATGTATCCTTCCAGCATGTTTATTCATACCAGCAAACAATTCTTCATCATCAGCATCACTACCTAATGCATCCTCATCTACCATTGTAGTTCTAGCACCATTTCCACTAGAAAACTTAGCACTTCTAACACCTAAATATTCATCAACGTCTTCATCATCAGCAACATGACAATGCTCAACAAAAACAACGCACATAGTTGATTAGATTAATATTTTAGCTACCTCAATTATTTCAGCATCACCTTTCAAAGAACGCAACCCATGTACCATAGACTATACCAAGGGCAAGTTAGGAATTTTGTAATATAGTGACTTAAATGACCCATAACCTAACTCTTGAAGCTTCTCTATAATATCCTAGTAACATAACTTGTCAACATCCCTAATAGGAAGATCACATGTTTCCCCACCAATGTAATGTCTAGTAAGTGTATCAAAGCTGCCATCAAAATGAATGCAAATCTTAAAAGGTGGATCACTTGACATTGCTATGAAATAGAGAAAACCATAACTCCAATCAAATTCCTTAATAGATTATTTGATATGTGATATACAATAAGAACAAATCAATCAAAAACCACTAACATTAGGCAATAAAGAATGTAACCAAAAACCACCCGAATCCTAATCTAGCCCATAACCCTTAGTGCTTACCAATAGATGATTATACTGATTAATTAAGAAAATAAACAATGTTTACCATTGTTTAATCAAACCCACTTAACCCAAACTTCAATAATTTAATCTATAATTATGATTAAAGAATGAACAAATAAATCACCACAAAACCCATGTGACAACACTTTAATCATCAATAATTGTTGCTACCAACCTAAAAAGGACGAGACTAACTCGAAATCATTGAAGATTCAAGGAATCTGGTCCTTGTGGTCCCTTCTTTATCTCTTTGATTGTCTGAAAAGGCAACAAAAATCTTTTCCTTCTTCGATGCTCAACAGATGAAGAATTGATTTTTTCTTCCTCCTTTTTATTCTTTATGTCATAAAGGAATTGTTGAAGCAAGATAATTCCCGCCCATAGACTATTAATGACACATTGGATGCCACATGGATACTAACTGCCACAAAAGCTAATAAACAAACGGTGTTGAGGGGCTCAGTTAATGCAAGGGCTGACTTACTTCACACGGGGAGTTGGAGGGCTTATTCGCATCATTTTTAGTGCAGGGGCTTATCACTTGCTGTCGAAAAAATTGAGGGTCCGGAAATCCGAAGTCGACCAGGCCACTCTTTCCTTCTCAACTAGTGAAAAGTTAAAAGTTTCTTCTTTCGCCGGAAAGCGGAAATTATAGATCGCTCCGGGCCTCCGGCACCCACCCACCCGCAATCTCTCTACGGCTCAAAACTCGTAGTGGGTTTCCAACAAATCAACATCTTTCTTCAACGGCAAAATCCTCGTTATCTTTCTGGTGATTTAGGAATTCTCTGTTTGTTTTGTTCTCTAAATTAAATTAAATTCAATTATTATCAAGTTATTTCCTTTTCTTTTTTTTTTTGGTAAGAAAAGGGAAAAACCATACAAAAATCAATGAATTGGATTTTCAATTTCTGGGTATGAAGAATGAAGAAGTAATTTGTCTTGTTTAATGATATTCCGTTAGATGATTGTATGATTTTCGTGTTAGGGTTTCTTAATTTAACCTTTGAATGAATTGGATTGGGATGTGGATGTGGTTCAACAGGTAATCTATTATGACGACTGCAGCTCGACCCACATGGGCACCTGCCAAAGGTGGCAACGAACAAGGTGGTACTCGAATTTTTGGCCCTTCCCAGAAGTATTCATCCCGAGACCTTGCTGCTCATACAAATCTCAAGCCCAGGTATTTCTTTTTCATTTTTTTCAGAATCTACACATATATGCATGGATGTCTTCAGTTTATAATCATGCAAATTTCTTAAACATTATTCTATTTCAATGCAAAGTGTATAGACATCTTTATATATTTAGAGGCATATCATGTCCCTCCCTTGCATCTGCCTGATATTAACTTAACCATGCATGCAAGAATTGAACAAGAAAGAACCAGCACTTCCATATGTTATGTTAGTGATTGACTCTTTGGATATCATTTTTGTTTGTTGGATGTGTGACTAAAAATTGCTTCTGTCTAATATTTTTAATTTTGAAAATGGGACACTTGTGATGTAGATCTTGGATGATACTTTTTTGTTTTTTCTCACATTTTTATTTTTCCATCTCTGATTGGAATGCATAACATCCATGCTATAGAAAAGAAGGTCAGGATACCCAGGATGAGTTGCAAAAGAGAAACCTCCGTGAGGAGCTGGAAGACCGTGAAAGGAGGCATTTCTCATCAAAGGATAAGTCTTACAATGGTACAAACATCCCTTAACTACCCTGATATCATGGTTCTAAATTGTATTCCTTTTGAATTTTCTTCTTCATTTACCTGTGCTTGTGGTATATTGTTTGTCTTTATTTTTAATTCACAAGCATGTTATTGCAGAGGACAGAGATCGCAGAAAAGCAAGCAATCTCCTATTGGAAGGTGAATTTTGCTATCTCTTCAGTCCCAGTGTCTCAAAATTAATGATCTTCTTAGTACTTGACTGACTTGAGTTACCAATAGGAACAAAGAGAGAGGTTGAAGACCGTATTGTTCCACGCAGTGTGGATGCTGATGATTCTGATGTGGATGATAATAATGACAATGAAAGGTATGGTATCTCCCTTTTATTTATTTATTTTTTTATTGAAATTGATTTTATTTCTGTAGATTCTCTTTAACCTAGCTTGATCAATTCCATAGCTATACAGTCTCTTAGATGTTAGAAGGAAGTTGATATTAAGCAGCTCAACCTTTTGGTATTTGTTACAACATTTTTTTCATTCTGGTAGTGACGATGATGACGACGACGACGATGATGAGGATGACACAGAAGCTCTATTGGCTGAGCTTGAACAAATTAAGAAGGAGAGAGCAGAGGAGCAGCTACGTAAGGTAAACTGTTTATCATTCATAGGTTCTTATGCTGTCAGATTTATAAGATATGCTCTGTAGTTTCTTACATTGTATCATGATTTTCCCACTTACCTCTCTGCTGGGTTGTCTCCTTCTAACTTGCTACCACAAAAAATGTTAAAAACAGAAAACTTTCAACTTCTCTTCCTTTTTTCATGTGTGTCATTGAGAAATAGACCATCATTGATTATGGGATACTGCTGTGGATTCTTGATGAGAAACTAGAAGAAGCTAAGGAAGATTTATTTACATTATTTACAACTGTTATGCTATTATTATTCATGTGTAATTTTCTATTATTTTTAGTTTTCCTAGTTTTATTAGGAATACATCTTTCTTTTAGGAGTCTTGAGTATTTTTATGTTGTGGATTTTCTATCCTTTTCTTTTTTCTTCTGTTTTGCCTACCCCTCACCTCTTATTTACTGTTCACGCACACTGTTCACAGCTCCTTCACCCTAAAACCCAAACCCACCATACCTGCTAACCTTTCCTGCATCAATTCTTCAATGTTGAGAAATATCATTCATTGTGTGTGCCTGATGCCAGGAAAAACAGCAGCAAGAAGAAGAGCTAAAAGCCAAAGAAGCAGAGCTTCTTCGAGGAAACCCACTGCTCAACAATCCAACATCTTTTAATGTAAAAAGGAGGTTAGTGCTTTCTACTTGTTTATTTATTTTTATGGTAGCACTTTTCACTTGCTTTATTTGAACCAAAACCTTTAGTTGTGAGTGAGTGCTCTCCTAATTCTGCCTCCTGTTTGATATGGTACAGGTGGGATGATGATGTTGTGTTCAAGAACCAAGCTCGCGGTGAAACAAAGGCTCCAAAGCGCTTCATTAATGACACCATTCGAAATGACTTCCACAGGAAATTCTTGCAGAAATACATGAAATAATTGTCTATCTGATTGGAGCCAGCCAGGACATTGTTTGTAATGCTATGGGAGTGAGTGTGAGTTAATTAAACTGAGAGTGAAGTTGAATTTGATGTCAGCTTGTGTTAAAAATTTGTTTTTATGTTTTGATTTGGGCAATCTATGTATTATATTATATTATATTATATATAAAGAAAATAACTTTCATAACAGTGTGAACTTCCCCCAACTATTTTATGGATATGACACCTAGGAATTGTATAATTGACTGACTCCATAACTTTGGCAGGAGATGTGAATGATAACATATAGCAATAGGATATTGAATTGAATAGGATTGGTAAACAACATTGTATTTTATTTGCATGAAATAAA